CCCCAAAACCCCAAAACCCCAAAACCCCAAAACCCCAAAACCCCAAAAATGCAGATATATTATATCATAAAAATACAGGAGAAATGATGAAAGGCGGAAGGCAAGCCAAGCTGCTTGCTAAAGAGAATCAAGCAAAGAAGAGAGCTGAAAAGATCTATGCTTCCTTCAAAAAAGACAGTCTCAAGAAGCTTAAGGACAGGATCTTACCTTCAGAAGCTCAGACTCCTGGGGCTGAGCTCCAGACTGGCCATAACTTCTCCGAAAAAGCTGAGGCGACTGAGAAGGCGTCTTTCAGTAAGACATTTACCAAGAACTTAAAGAGGAAAGGTAAGCCTTTTCTTACTTTCTGGCTTGAAGGTTTGTTAATGATATTCCAGATTTCTGTCTTCAGATTAACCCGCTGTTATAGGAACCCTCAAGACTAAAGCTAGGGATCACCCAGAGCATGACGTTGTAAAGGAAAGATTTATGTCGTTATTCTCCGAAGAGCTTGAAAAACGTAAAAATGATTATTACCAAGCAAAAGAAAAGAAAGACGATGCATTTAGAGAAATTGAGAGATTAAAGACCTCATACAGGATGACCGAGAACAGATTGAAGAAGAAAAACAGCACCACATCAGGGGTCTCTTATCCTATAAAGATAGAGATAGGGATCACAGAGGCAGATCTCGACCAAAATCGCTTCGCGATTATTGGTGCTCTAGATCCTGAGGACCTAAAAATATTTTATAGAATTAATACTAGCAGTAAGAGCGGTGGCACAGAAAAATTTGAAAGTGCCAAAGTAGGCGATGTACTCAAGCCAACATGGGCAGATGCCTTTGAGATGGAGTTTCATAATAGCAAACAGAAAATATTCTTTGAAATCATGACAAGGTTGAACGGAGACGAGACTACCGACAAAACCATCGATTCCTTCGATCTCTCCGCAACTATTGTAGAACAACAGTTGAGGATCAACGAGTATTTGGCCGATAACCTCTGTACAGCTACTGGTAAGACTAGATCTTGACTCATGCTAATATTTTAGGAAATCATTTCACACTCTCTATCAAAGGACATGTTGCTGTCAACCCCAAGCTTCAAGGCCTCAAAGATAAAATCCAGCATAATGAACAGCTCTTCCAACAAGTTGAGCCTGACTACAAAGAATACAGATCCAAGTTCGAAAAGTTCCTCAATCTTAGAGGCGCAGAACTGCTTGAAGAGTGGGGCTTGCTCGGCTCAGAGTTCAAGCTCGTCAGAAAACACAAGAAAGAAGAAACCAAAGACACGCCTACCAAGCGAAAGACCGAAGTCGATGTGCTTGACATGGATCACTTAGACAGGTCTTATCTAGGGTCGAGCATGAGGGCCAAACGCAAAACCACAGCTGCACCCAAGAAGAAAGACAAAATCAAACACGAATTTACCAAGAGTGCCCATCCAAAGAAAGCTGATGACTTGTCTGCAACACACAAAGTTGAGCCCACCAACAAGGCGGCTCACGACATCAAAGAAGAAACAAAGCAGGCTCCAGTCAAGAGGTCGGAGTCAGATGAAAAGGTCAGAGAACGCATCGAGAAGAGGCACCTTCACAAACGATTCCACAACAACGAAATCATCCATGAGCGAGAAGAAGATCTCCTTGACACTCCTGACAAAGACGATGTTCCTGAGGATTCGAAGGCTGCAGAAGCTCACAAGAACGGTCATGAAGATGCTATAGAAGCACCCTCAGATGACTACGGAGCAGGCTCATTGACTTCTGATGCTCTGAGGTCGAACAACTTGGGAACTAAGAGGACTGGGTTGGGATCGAGTCTGATCAACTTCGCAATGCAAGACCTGACACATAGCAGCAAGGTAAAATCAGTGTACAACTCTGGAGCAGCTAAAGCTAATCAAACGAACGTCGGAGGAATGTTTAACAAGATGGGTATGGGAAATGCCATGTCTGGAATGTTTATGATGAACAATAACCCAATGATGAGTCATCTTAATTACAATGTAAATGATGATAATTGCAGTCTGATATCAGGTAATACATTCCAGACTTTCCAAAATTTTGCAAATCCAATGTCACTAAGCCAGAAGAAAAATTAATAAATCCAAGAGCAATATTTATTAACTTTTAAGGGGTTTTGGGGTTTTGGGGTTTTGGGGTTTTGGGG